AAAGACAATACAAAATAAGATAGATAAAATAATGAGCTCAATTATTGATACATACCTGTACATTTACATAGATATAGTACCATGTATAGAAACATGACGTGAATGTCCGAACACGTACTACCGGTGACTATTCTCGGCGCTGCCATTGCTAACCAAACACTGGTCTTATATTATTGTTGGTATCAATCAATGATATCACAAGACAGACACCATTTGTGTCAACCGTTATAATTGTGGTTATTATTGATTATCAGCTCTTCGCTGAAACAAACATTACTTTTAATTTACAATTACTATAGTTTTATAACTATAGAAATAAATCTTGTTAATTTTTAGATTCTATTATTAAATAACATAATTGTTTCTGTATTTAATTAAATTGTTCACTAATTATTCGCCAAAATAGTCAATCACTTGACTGTTTATTTCGCAATCAAATAAACTAAATATTTATTCAAATCAAATCAAAAGTCCATTTTATAAATAATGAAATATAAGATAAGATATACAGGAAAATAAAATCAAAGTTTAATAACAATTTCTATATAAAATGTTATTATAAAATAAATATTAAATATGTTTTAAGATATCAAAGAGTATTTCTAATCAGAGAGACGAGTAGGAGGTGTGTGTCCAGTGATGGCCATTTAATACATGGACATGAATTATCTTATACTGTATAACCACTAAATAATCAATTGAATTCATTTTACCCATCATTTACTTTATATATTCAATTCATACATAAATTTTTAAAACTATCGGTATTCTTGTAGTAAATGAGATCATATGCTAGTCTACCGAAATATATGACCAATACTTACACTCATTAGACACTTTAAGACATCACCCATTAGATCGTCCAATCCATTGAACAATCCATTGTACGTTCCCATCATTTGTTGGTTTAAATATCTTATTGACGCCAATGGCAGAGATAGTCGACATCCGACAGACAAATCACTCACGAGACTAGTGTCCAGTAAAATATGGTTTCGCGTCCATCCAATCGGTTCCCGGGAATGGCAACTCTGTCAGTACGGATCGGATCGTCCATCACTGTGTCACACCCGCCGTCCGCACCCGCGTCTGTCTTAATCAATCAAATGGTCAAGTCTTTGGATCCGTTAGCACGCGATGTTTTGTCGGTAAATGTTACAAAAAAGCTAACTTCTTATAATTAGTTGTTTCTGTCATAAACTTTATGACATTTGTTTTAAACTTCAAAACTTTTAAACTTTTAAATTGAGTGCCAAACAAATGCCATAACAAATCAATACCATTATATACTGTGAAATGTATAGCGTTTATGTGCTATAAAAGTACCAAAACATCGACTCTATAGTAAAGCCCGTATTTTGAGTGTGTTTTGCATTTAAATGGCTTAACATCTGATGTATTGATGTATCGATTGTTTACATATTTTTATTTATTTTTCACTTAATTGTTATGTGATTTGAGTGTCAGTTATATCATCGGTCGTGTCGTATGTCTTGGATCTGATCCACACTCGTGTTGTCGACGCGTTCACCATATAATGGATGGCAAAAAGAAGTTCAGTTTGAAGTCCATTATCCATAAGGTATTGAACACTGTTTTGGATGACTTGATCCGAGCGATTGATGGTTTGATTCACAGACTTAATGATTGATTTGATTGTTTCTCAAAGAGTTCTTCGGCTCACGGACTGAGCGGACAGACAGCGGGCGGCGATCAGCGGTCGTCGCAACCGAACGCCACGACTGATGGCCGAAGCGGTCGTCGAGACAGCGATTCGGCATTAAATGAGTTAAAAAAGGATCAATTCGTGGACACATACGTGAAGGAGAAGTTGAAACGCGAGTCAATCGCCGACCCGTTGAATATCATGAATCCGGACGTGGAGTCCGATATACTCCAGAGTATTGACACGAAATACTTCGAGAACGTAACGGATCCGCTGACCGCCGAGCAGTTTGTTTTTGACGATTTGCCCCAAGAGTTGTCGCTTACATACCTGTCCGACCAAACGGTGTGTCTGAAGCGACAGCTGTCGGTCGTGTCGAAGAAGGTGTCGGATCTGATACTGAAGAATGAGTGCAAATACCGGACAGAACTCGAACGGGTGACCCGTTTGCAGACCGGTCTCTCCGATGCCATCAAAGTGTGTACGAGTGGTCGCCAGCACTTGGACTGCTCTAAACGCAACTTCACGTGTGTATCGCTCGGTATTGTCGCCTCTTATCGTCGTCGGGAGGTCTTGAAGTCGCTCTTGAAATCTCTGCAAACCATTAAGACATTACAGGAAACAGATATACGACTTCGGGAACTACTGGAGGACGACGAAGACTATACGGGAGCCATACAGCTATATCTCGAGTGCCATAAAGTGGTGTCCAGTCTTAAGCACTATCGCTGTATCAGCGAATTGAATACCAAACTCCAGGACACGTTGGAGATGACCGAAGAGCAGATCGATGTGGCGCTCAGTAAAATGTGTTTGACATTCAACCGCCAGCTGTACCACAAACTCATGAGTGCATACAATCTGTTGGGCAAAACGCAGACAGCTATGGATCAGCTATTAATGCACTTCGCCAGTGCCATACATAACAAGGCGTTTGCCATTGTGTTGGGTTATGTGGAACTGTTTGCCGACACGTCGGCCAGCGCTCAGAATTACCACAAACGCCAATACAGCGAATTGTGTCGGTGTTTAACGGCCGACAGTTTCCTCGCCTGTCTCACCGATCTCTGCAAAGCCTTATGGGATATGATGTCCAACTATTACCGCATATTATCATTCCATAGAGAGTCTGTTCAGCCATCAGATGAACTGGTGGTACAACAGACCGGTGCCACTGATGACGAAGACTCTGCGTTCAACCAACAGTTTGTGATACAGAAGTTGGAGCACGGATTGGGACGTATTTGGCAGGACGTGCAGCAGAAGCTCCGGACACTCATACAGAACCACAACCTCTCCGACCATAACATCGACGAGTTTATCAAAATACTGGCCGTCGCCGAGAGAATGGTGGACATCGGCGAAGAGTTTTGCGGCAATCGGTCCGAAGAGCTCCAGCACTCGATAAAGTTGCAGACAATTAATTACTTCCAAAACTACCACAAGTCCTGTATGTCTGAGCTGAAGGAATTCCTCGAGAGCGAGTGTTGGACTCTGTGTCCGGTCCAGAGGTTTAGTTTAATACATTTACAAGAGTTCCAGTTCTTGCGCACGAGCCTACCATCGCAACGGATGGGCACGTTATCGCCCAACTCGTCGCCCACCAAAAGACATCGATATTATTTTTCGGCACATTTTTTACGGCCAAACGAGTCGACGATTACGCCATTCGATGAGGACATGGATATTGAAAATGACACGAAAGAGTCGAAAGAGACGGCCGACACGAACGAAAGCCAAGTGAAGAGCCGTAGGATATCGATGAACGGCGAATGCGGCGCCGATACCGACGAGAGTGGCAACAGTGAGTCGATTATGACAAACACAACGCTAAACATATTGCGATTGTTTGGCAAATATATGCAAATGATGTCTATCTTGCGTCCAATCGCTTTCGATGCGATGCTTTGTTTGTTTCAATTATTTGATTACTATTTATACGCTGTCTATAAGTTCTTCGGCAGAGATATGTTAATCCTGTCCGAGAGTTCGCTGTCCAATGAGATGAAAGTAACGCTCAAACGTATTGCCGATAATTTGATTGCCGCCGAAAAGAGCTCCGATCCTAGTATTGAATTAAACCTCAATAATGGCGCTAATAATAGCAACACTAATAAGTATTATTCGCCAATTCTGTCAACTGTTGTGGATATGTCTTCAGCACAGACTCTGTACGGTTTGGCCGAACGGGTGGTCGCTATCGAGTCATTGTAAGTCTTTAACAACCATTTATGCAGTGATTATAATTTGATTTGTTTGTCTCTAATAGAGTCGCTCTTTCCAATCAATTCCATTATTTGCGGTCTTATATCGAAGAACTCATTCCTCAGGAGAAGAAACACATTCTTCAGCAATACTTCAATCAAGTAATGAGTAAAATGCATGAAATGAATGGATTATCATTTGACCAAATATTTGCACTACAATTGATTGACAGGTGGTATCGATTGCCAATGATTTGCGTAAACCGGTGTATATGTGGGTAACCGTACGGTGTGTTCAATACGAGAATATCGTCTCAATGATGGCCACAACGCAGTGGAATATCCGCGAAATCCTTTCGATGCATAACTCATATGTGGATCTATTGTTACGCGAGCTCCAGATCTTTAGTATGCGTTTGAATGAAGTGTTTGTCAAACAATTGATGGGAATAGAGATCCCGAAAGAGGTGTACCAGTGTTTGTGGGAACACGTGCTCCGACTCTCCAATCGGACGTTCATCGAAGGCTTCTCACTGTCGAAGAAGTGCACGAATGAAGGCCGAGCTCTCATGCAATTGGATTTCCAACAATTCCTGACCAAAGTGGAGAGTCTGACCACAATTCGCCCGATTCCCGAACGAGAACTCGTCGAAGAGTACATCAAAGCCTATTATCTGACAGAACCGGCGCTCGTCGAGTGGATCAAACTCCGCAAAGAATATAATCCCAAACAGATCCAGGGATTAGTCACGTGTATTACTAATGACAATAAGAAAGTGCGGACAAGGATTTTGGCCGAAATCGGTTTAAACCCATAACTTATTTGGTGAAGAAATCTCTCAATTCATTGAAACAACACTTTTTGTAATTTAATACAAATTATATTTTTATTATTAAATTAAAAGTTTTATGCAATAAAAAGCACTNTAATGACAATAAGAAAGTGCGGACAAGGATTTTGGCCGAAATCGGTTTAAACCCATAACTTATTTGGTGAAGAAATCTCTCAATTCATTGAAACAACACTTTTTGTAATTTAATACAAATTATATTTTTATTATTAAATTAAAAGTTTTATGCAATAAAAAGCACTCTAATAACTATTTGTAAAAATTATTTGTACCGGTATAATTTGCAACAATAGTGTTGGCACATTCCTCATGAATGGTATCGTGATATTGGATAATCCAATTTGGATTCTTTGGTAATGTTATCGGCGCTGACTGTGAGTCTCATCCGATTCAAGGCATCCACTGTTGAGCCCCGCGTACTGTACGACAGTTGCAAATGAGTTGTTTTCATTGCAAACACAAATATAACTCAAAGAAACGCTTTTTATTAAATTTCATTTGTATTTCTTTCACTCAATTGTCTGTATTTAAGAGTCGCGCCAAACGTACCCCAAATGCAGTGCTAAACAGCCCTAAACTGTGCCAAACTTAGCCTCAATTGCATTGAACACGATATACGAATGGAGAGTACAGTCAATGCACACAAATGTGAGGCAATGTATTGAATACACAGTCTGTAAACCAAACGCAAAATTGCGCCCAAAATATGCGTTTGTTTTGCTTTCAACTCATGGCTACTGTTGTTGTCGTTTGTGACCATTGATTGTCTCATTTAACTCATCCCAAACATCATACGATGGCTGCGGTAGTGGTCAACGATATATTGGATGCGCTCCGCACTGAGAATCAACGATTGGTGGCCGACCTCAAGGTCTTGAGCGAAGACAACGAACGCTTCCTCCAAGACCTATGTCTTGAGCGCCAACTAAACCACGTTTTGGACAATTACAAGAATTATTCACTCATTTTGATCCAACGATGCAAATGCGATATCAATGCCGACATTATCTCCAAATTGAATCAATTCAACGACGAATACAAGTGTCTTAAACACAACCGCAGAAGCGATGATCCAAACGCTGGCTTATTATCTGGTAATGAACTGATCCATTGATTTGATGGACAAATAATGATAATATGTATTGTGTTATGAATATAGGAACTCGTGGTTCGTTTGCGGATCCGTCCGAAGAGTTAATAACGTCGAAGAATATGGTCGACGATCTGACGGACAATCACGTGGTGTGCGATGAATGTCAACAAACGTTTGAAACGACTGTCACTTTAGAGATCCATCGGAATAGTGTCCACAAGAATGTCGAGTCGTATACGTGTCACAAATGCGAGCTCGTCTTCAATTGTCGGGATCTGTTTAGCGACCATTTGTCTCAACACGATTCGGCCGCAAACGCCGATCACATGGATATCAAACCTGACATCCATTCGCGTAATTATCCTATAATTAGAGTTTATATTAAATGGTTAATGAATTGGCATTTCTTTGTACAGTCAATGCGAGCCCAAAGTCGAGTCCAATGAAGAGTTCAATGAGGAGTCCAATGAAGAGGAATTGGACTAAAGTGGCAAAAATGGCCAAAAATAATGGCATTAATCATAATTACAAACTAATGACTGAATTATTGCACAAGACTTACCAGAATGTGGGCAAAAAAGGTGCAAAAGTGGTGACAAATACATCGGGTAAGAAGTATCTAAAATGGCCAAAAATAATGGCATTAATCATAATTACAAACTAATGACTGAATTATTGCACAAGACTTACCAGAATGTGGGCAAAAAAGGTGCAAAAGTGGTGACAAATACATCGGGTAAGAAGTATCCGTGCACTAAATGCCGCAAAGGTTTCGATACAGAGCACTGTCTTGAGCTACACGTGAATCGAATCCATCTGAAGAAGAAGCCGTTTAGTTGTACCAAATGTGTGGACCGGTTCTACGCCAACAGACTTCTGTTGGCCCACATGTCAGCCGCGCATAACGTCAAAGCGTTTGAATGCGATTCGTGTGACTACAAGGGCTTCAAATATCTAACTCTAATGCAGCACCAGAAGCGACACCAATCTCCGTCCTCTGTCCCAAAAGTGGCCACTAATTGTGCACAGCGTTCGCCCGCTAAGTCCAAGGCGTCAAACGTTGAGTTATATAAATGCGATTCGTGTGACTTCGAGACGAGCGCCAAATACTCGTACGTTTTGCACATAAATAGTCATAAACTGAACAAACAGTTCCGGTGTGTTGTCAGCGGTTGTAACGAAAAGTTTATGACCGAAAAGAGTCAACTCCGGCACCAGAAAGACAAGCACTCGTTGACTGACAAGCGATTCGCGTGCAAACACTGCAGCGAACGCTTCTTTTCCAACGATAGCCTTCTCAACCATTTGGGAACCAAACATAAGGTGTCGGCCTTTGCTTGCGATATGTGTTCGTTTAAGACCACTACCAAAGTGGCGCTCTTTCGGCACAAAGTGGCCGACCATTCGGTGGACGCGGCATATGTTTGCCGATTCGCTGAATGTAATACTTTGTTTGAAAATCAGTACAACTTAGACCGACACTACAAACGCGTGCATAAAACAGGACAGACATCGGGTACCAGTAGTCTCGCAAAGGCTCAAAAGCTGACTAAACAGTCGCCGAAGAAGACTGGTCTCAAACCCGGTCCCAAACCCGGCTCCAAGTCTAGCCCCAAGTCTGCCTCCAAGTCTCCCGCATTGGATGGCAATCCATTGAAATGCGATGTCAGCGGCTGTCGCAAGAAGTTCGCCACCGAAGGCAAACTGATTGTCCACAAACGGGTGGTCCATAAGATGACGCAAATGATTGCATGCGATTGGAGTGGATGTAAACGCAAATTCATTTCATTAACCAAACTTACAATCCATAAGAAAGGTCATAAGGCGATGGAGAATAAGTTTCCCTGTGTTTGGAAGGGCTGTACTTTCCGTACGGACACATTCGCTAAACTCAATCAACACAGACGTCAACTCAAACACAATTCAGATGGTTTATAATTTATAAATTATAAATTCATTTGTATTTTTTCAATACCAAAACCCATTTCGAAGAAACTATTTTAAGTTTTAATTTTGTGTTTTTTGTTACACTAATGGCATTTTTAGTATAACTTAACTTTAATCCACGTTTAATTTGATACTTTTTATGTTTAAATCCAAAACACATTTCATTAATATCATTACCTTTTTAATTACTTATCGCATGTTTTGTTAGTTTGTTTTCAATCGATTTTTATATTTCAATCGCCTTTAAGATGGTCTGTATTGGCATCAGTTTTGATCACCTCTTTGTGTTCATCAATAATTCAATTATTTGACATATTTTTGATTATCAAATTCATAACGCATTTGAATCTCTTGTATCTCAATTCATAGTATAATTTAAATTCATTGATTATTTTATGAACAGTTGTTATCAATGGTTAACATTTAAATAAATTTAATTCAATACAAATAAATGCAAATTTCAATCAATACATTATTTAATGTTAATTTAAATGCAAAGCAAACGTCAGTTGAAGAAATCCATGAGTTGTTGCGAGTGTTGTCCGTCGAAAGTCAACTCCTTTTCATTGCTTAATGTCTTGAGTGCGCTCTCAATCAGGTCCTCGTAAGTGGTCTCCAAGAGCTCTGAGAAATCCCATTCCCTGTTCGGCAGTTCGTTGTTAATAAAAAGTGCACTTTTGGCCACTTGTGGGTGAAAATGCTTTTGCAAACTCTTTATTTCCCACAAACAGCTATTGATAGCACCGGTGGCCTCGGGATCGTCCACTGAATCATCAAACGGATCGCTGGCAACCGTCTGAGCGTTTGTCGTACACATCATCTTCGAGAGTGACGGGTGTCTGACGAGTAGATTCCCAATCATTGGCAACAATATTAGACACGCGTCCGGAGAGGCGGTCAGCGCTATTCGGGACAAGCGTTTCACAAAAGAGGCCACAATTTGGGCCGATATATGGGTTGAGGTGAGGAAGACATCGCTCCAGAACAGGAATCGAGGCCTATATTTCACGTGCAAAACGCCGGGCGTTAAGAGAGCGTAGAGTTTGGCGTAGAATTGCGGATAATTTAGATTACATTTTGTTATTAAGACATAAAGTGATGACAGACTCAACAAAGAGACCACACCTCCGATGGAATAGCTGTTCACCAGAAAGTCTGTCAACAGTAAGGGGTTCTTAAAGTGTTGGATCAGCTCTTTGTCTAACAAAATGAGAACTTTTTTGTATAAATCTTTGGGCAATCGTTGCCGAAGAAATAGTGTCCAATTGTTGGCAAAAATGTCGGCATCTCTTTCGTAATCAATACGAAAGCACTTCTGGAGGGGTTGTGTCGGAACGCAAAGTATTATATTTTTAGCGTCCGTTTCGACAATACGTCTAGATTTGCGAGTTTTGGACACCTTTTCGCGCAATTTCTTTCTTCGCGGCAACAGATCTGTCGGTGTCTTCAGACGTATGGCTGACAGCAATTCATATGTATTTCTTATGAACACTTCGTCCTCAACAGCCCTATCGACAGATTGTTCGCCATTTGTGTCCACCAAATCGTCCTCTTCTTCGTCTGAAACTTCTTTTAATATCAATTGAATGGCTTTTAGTGTGTAATGAATACAGTCATCAAAATCGAGATAATTGTCCTTAAAATTAGCGATCAGTTGTCGATTATCCACTTTATTAGACAATAATTGTCTGCAGATATCGTTCAAGAGTTGGTCAGCGAAAGTGTCCGGCGCTTCGGTCGGCACATCCGTACGGAATGGATATTTACCTTCGAGTGTAAAAACAAGATATAAATCAAACAAAAGTGGTCAACAAAGCAATGATCCAAACCTTCTTCGGCCACACATTTCATAAGTGAATTCAACGCCAACTTCTGCGTCGACTTCGAGTACTGATTGTCACCGAGAAGTCTGAGAAGAGCGCCGTTCGTCCGCTCGTAGACACCGATTAACCACTTCTTGTACGTGCGGTTGGCGTCGGTGTCCTCTTCGGTGATCAACAGCTCTTTGGTGTGAATATAACGGATGAATATCTTGTTTAATGATCTGATGATAGTGTCGATCATCAGCGGTGAAC